TGCAGCTGTGAGCTTCTGATACAGACTTTGACATGCATCACTGGTTCACTGACTCCACTTTCAGAGGTGGAAACTAAAATATTTATTCATTCCTGATCACATCATTAAGAAGATTTTAAATTAAGTAACACTGTTTAGAATCTGCACCATATTATCCTTATTTCACTACATTTTGCATTAATTCTAATTTGCTGTGCATAATAAGGTAATATGAAAATAATTTTGTTCATACAGTACATTTTAAATCACAAAGTTATAAGGTGTTTCACATTTTAAATAAAATCAACTTATAAGAAATACTTTTTTATATCACAACATACATAAATACATATTTAAAACTAATTGGTGACAACAAAGGTCAAAATTAAACAGCCAAATGATCAGGATAACGAAAACGAGCAAAAATTGTAGAAAAATGCATTTGGTTAATTTTATTAATTTGATTAGTAAAATTTTAATATTAATTCTACAGTTTGCCAGAAGGCCACAAAGGGAGGCAAGAGAAGATCTGGTGTTCTTTGATGATACTTTGAGTCAGATTTTTGCAGTATTAATTTCTTGAGAAAACCAGACTGGATGGGCTTAGAGGTTCAAAATTCAAGTCTTAGTCAAAAAACTTGCACAGAAAATTCATCTAGTCATCAAAACCAAATATTGAACCCAGACCCTGTAGTTTTTAACTGAATTAAAAATTATCTACTTTGATTTGAACTTAACAATGATTGCATTCCATACATGAATATGTTTTTTTGTTGTTTTATCAGTTTCCTACCACAAGGTTGTAATCAGGTGTTAAAGTTGGATTTGGGAGGTGGGAAGTTCAGCTGTAGCAGGGCAGCAGCGACTTTACATTTTGCAATATATAAGACAATGTTACATTCATGATGAAAATTTTTCCAACTCCTCACCAGTATACAGCTGGATTTTAGTTGGTATCTTTATCTTTTGTTTCAAAGGTCAACAGCAATCGCCGACTTTGCACACAAATAAGCTTTTAAAAGCTTCTCCCCAAGAACAAAACAAAAGTGATTTTTCTTAAGCTGTGATTTTATTTTGTGATTTTTACTTTTATTACACCATGGTTTTAAAGTCAACATGGATAATATTAGCTGATAAACTTAGCATGCATATCAATAGAGTACATCAACATTTGCAGAAATATTGCAAGAAAAGAAACATGTAGCTTCATCAAACTATAAAACACATCATATGCAAACAGGAAGTGTTGCTGAAACTCTACTCTGAGCAGTGGTCAGGGTCCAGGGTTTGAGTGACGGGGCTCTGTCCACTCAAACTGGCCTCACAGCTCACTGAGCCCGCCTTCTTCCACTGGTCTGCGGAGAGGCTCAGGGTGCTGCTCCAGCTGTAGCGGCCATCTGTCCCCAAGACTTCCAGGCTGTTTGAAACCCCTGAGGATGTGCTGGTGCTCCCCACCTTCCAGCCCAAATTCCAATTTGAGGGGAAGCCCCCGGTGGCCAAACAACACAGTGGCACT